TAAATGCATTTGTAGATGTATTTTATACCCTTACAATTTGGGTTGGATTCAGGTCGTCGAGTATCTTGAATACCCCTAGCATACATTGGTTAAATAATGCATGAATAATGAATATTCTTCCCCTTCATTGTTTACTATATCATAATCATAATTTGGGATCTAGCAATACTAAAAAATTATTGTATGAACAGAGAAAGTACTCTTTATAGTGCTAAAAATTTTCCACCTTTCAAAGGTTGATAATTCGATCTATTTTTAATTTTTTAAAAAAAAAACTCACTTTTCTATTAATTACAAACTGCCCATTCAACAAAAAATTGATTCCAAACTAAACAGATCACCATTGGAGTTGGTGGGCCAGGCCAGCCCATAGAATGAGTTTATTGGATCAATATTTAGTTCAAATCTTGGGTCAGCTCACAAGGCCCATTGAATAAATATTAGGGACCTTTTAAAAATATTTTTTTCTAAAATCAAATTTTATTAAATAAAAACGCACTCTCCCAATGCTTTTAGAAACATTACTAATTTAGAGTGGGATTAGTATAACTTCATAAATTATTTTAATTAAATGACTAAAAGTACTTTTTTTAAATCTATAATACTGGTAATAAATAAAAATCACTTTTAAAAAATTGGATTGATTAAGAACTTTTTCTTTTTAAGAAATAATTGAAACTAGCGCTTTACTTTTTTTCATAGTTTATTCTTGTTACTGTTAAATGTTGTAGTATGAAATTTAAAACCCATTAAACCATTATATAATATATCCTACCTTATCTAACATGTTTTTAAGGTTCTATTTTTTAATTCGTAGCCATCAGTCTTTTTTTTTTTTTACAATATGTGGGAGTGGGGGATCGAACTCTCAACTTAATGTATGCCAATTGTCAGTTAGCTATCAAAATTTTTGTTTTTAGAGAATATAATTGATGGAACTTTAGACATGCACAGCGGAAGCTAAGGATCATAATACACTTAATGAAGCAATTTAACTAAAATAAGCATGCTGGAAAATATGATGAAAAATGTAAAGATGAAGTGATTAACTTTATACATTTAAAGACCTCCACTATAACTTCTTCTCCTAACTCAATGGGACCACCAACGGTAAATCCGTGCTATCCTCTGGTTGGTTACGTGTTCTGGGACCAAATTATGAGTGAAAGCAAAGGGAAAGCACTAAAGGCTAGGCGAAAACAATAGAAGTTTTAGTGGGAAAATTCTACACTTATTCAAGGAAGCATTAGGTTTCTCCAAGTGATGTTCATCACCTATATAAAGACCAAATGTATGCAAGGACAAGCCTTGCATGCTTTCCACTTCAAACCCCACTAGGATGTAAAAGATAGGTGTCATTGCCTTGAAGAAAACTTCAAAAACTACTGGTTAGTAGGAAAATCCAATTTTGAAGTTGAGTTTTTCAATAACTTGATTTTTTAAATAAAACTTTTATGAAACTAATTTTTTATAAAAACAAAAATTGAAATATCAATTTCCTATTGAAACAAAAACCAAGCCAAATTAATATTTCACATTAATTGGTATTTGGCACCTAAGTTTGATTAACCACATTAATCAAATTACAATTCTTTTTCATGCTTTAGACTTTTTAAATAAGTCATAATGTCCAATATAATTAATTCTCAATTAATTATTAAATTATATATTTTATCTCATATAAAATATAATATTCTCTAAAAACCGAATTTGAACACTTAAAATTCTTGATTCGCCTAGTTCATCAATTTTATCCTTTATGAGCTAGCATGGAGACCCGATGGACCTACAGTTCATGAGCTCCAACGATTTGAGACTAACCGGTCAAACTCTTTAACTTAGTTAATCAATATTCGTTAACTAACAGGACTGTCCACTATATCCTGTAGATGCACTCCCCTCACTGTAGATATATTTGTGTCCATTCGATATAACCGTCATCGGTAAGTTGATCATTCACATGCCATTCGTAACCTCATCTAGGTAAAAAAAAATCGTTTTACCCCTGAATTACATCTTTTCTCCTTAAGTACCACTATCCCTGTAATGAACAATTGATTTAGGATCAAATCACTAAATCCAATTCCTCTCGGGCCAGTGAGAGGATGGGGCCACTTGTTCAAGACCCGGGATCAACCTTAAGGGAACAACCTCTCTACTATCCTTAAATAGGGTAGAAGTGAATTTCGTCTTGTTAATTCTATGTTCCCAGCTATCTACCCAGTCTTATCCCTGAAATGGGAGGCATATTGAGCAGCGCTGATGAGCTTACTCTCACCTATGCAGATCACGGGAGAATCCTAAATAAATAGGAGTTCATAGACGACTCAAGATTTATATCAAGTTATCTAGGTCATCGATAAACGAAATTAATCAATGTTATCTGTAAACGGTGTTAATACGTAATAGTGATGATTTTAGGGTCAGTCTTACACAATCTCATTATGTAGAACACCCCCGGTCACATGTTTCTACATGAACGAATTAGGATCGCTTCGTTTATGACATCTTACAACATTTGTAACAATCATAAAGCGGGCCGTATTCAATATTGTCTCTAGGAAAAAGTACCCAATTTGATCCATGTACTATAGACTGTTTAGGTTATTTATTTGAACTTGATCCAGTTTATGTCTCCACATAGAGTCTAAGTACTCATTATAATAGCCAAGGGTTTGTAGTTTATTGGATTTAGAGTTATTAAAAAACAAATTCACTTTCATTTAACAACACTTGTCTGAATAACCTCACATTAATGTTCACTGTTTACGAACAAGGAGTTTTAGGACAAAATACCCAACACTAATCAAATGAGATGTATACTTTTTAAAATCTAATAAAAATCTCAAGAACATTTTTAAAAAATGTATCACCATATATATATTAGTACTTCATTTCGCCTCCTAACAATCCGTTTATTTTTTTCAAATCTTACTTCAATGTATCTCTTTAACATATGCAAGACCACCAGCCTTTTATTTTTAAAAATTTTTTTTTTATCGAGATTTATTTTGTAGGCCCACAACTTATTTGAAATATATATTAATAAATTAAATACAGTTAACTATATTTTCCTTAAAAAAAATGTAGAGTGTACGACTTATTTGAAACATAGATTATTAAATTAGTTTTGTGATATGAATCGCCTATGACTTTACATTATGATAACATTTTATTTAATAACTTTTTATGTAATTTATTGTTTTCAAATTTGCCCTTTATTGAACATACTAAGTAAAGTAATTTAGGGTTGATGATGTGGTATTTAGAATTTAGCTAGGAGACTATCTAAAGCAGGTCATTACGTTGTTTTATGAGTAAACGAGCTTTTTCTTTCAAGTTTAGTCAGGAAGTTTCTGGAATAATTTCATAATTTCATGTTTCTTAAAATTGCATGTCAAGAACATTCAAGTAGAACTGATCATTCTATCTTGTAGAGTTCTCGACTCTCGAAAAATTTTGATCTTTAAGGCAATCCGTGTCTAACCTAAAGCTTCGGGTTGGGGGTTCGTATACCCAATATCCAAAGGGATCCTAATTCCATTCACTAGGCTTTTTCAGGAGTGTATATAGGAAAAGTTTAAAAATAAACATAATTAAAAACAAAAGCATAACAGTTTAAAATTCGAAAATCTTAGAGCCTCAAGTTTTTAAAAATAATAATAATAATAATAATAATAATAATAATAAAAAGGATGGATTTAAGTTTGAATTGAAAATTTTGACTTCGTGAGAGTTTGAAGGACCTCATACCGTCGAACGTATTTAAGTTTAAATTAAAGAATAGAGAGAGAAAAATAAAAAACAAAAAACAAAAAGTCCGGTGGTCTGGCGTCTTTGTAGCAAATTTTGAAAAAATAAAACGGTCCGTTTATGTGCAATTAAATCTAAAAGGATGCATTCCTCTATTTTCCTAAATAATATGAAAAGTATATGTTTTCTGTCTCTCTCTTTTTAATATTCTAGTCTCTCAAAAACTACCGATAGATAAAAGTAATATAAAATTAATATATTTTACTACATAATTATAAATAGTTATAGTTCAATCGACAAATAATAGTCCTATCACTTTTATGTTTACCAGAAATTTTCTGTAATCGAAATCAAAACACCATTATTAGTATACTCCTACTCCTAATTTAATTTAATTTATTTTTTTATTACTATATTATTGATAGTAAATTTTTTTTACCAAAATAATTTATGCAACATTAATAAATAATAATTAAAATAAAATAAAATATGTTCACTAAAGTACTATTTTGTTACAACCGTCATTATTTCATATAAAATATGATTAAATTTTATTATAATAATAATGAATTATATTTTTAAAAATCTGATATTAATTTATAATAACAAAATTAAATGGAAATTTTGAAAATTTAATATTTTATAACAATATCACATCAACTTTAAAAGTGATATAATTTTTTACTAAAAGAAAAATTATTAATAGTATAAATAAAAAAGAAATAAAAAAAAGTATAAAACAATTAAATAAAAAGTCATGGGTCTCATTAATCATGACAGAGAAAGGGTAAAATTAGAAAAGTTATTCCAACCAAGAGGTTGTGAGTTCAAATTCTACTAAAAAAAACAATCTTTGCAAAAAAAAAAAATTAGAAAAGTTATTGCAATAAATGTATAGAACCCACGAGATAAGGAATGAAAATGATATTGATAAGGGTGAGAGAGAGAAATGGATGGCCCCTTTTTATCGAATGGGAACGAAAAGAGTAGGTGGATCCCACCATTTGATTCACATTCCAACAATTTGGTAAACACCATCAAATGAATAAAAGAATTGATTCTAATTCCTTCATTCACATTCCCTCGATGTAAACATGACCTACAAGTGCTTATTTTAAAGCTCAAAGAACCTAATAGACACCAAATTTAAATTTCAATGATCAAAAAGTATATTTTACTCTTAAATTTAACTAAAATGTCAAACACAGTGCACCACACAGAGAAAGAAAAAGGAAAAGAGAGACACATGACAATAAAAACAGAGTAACTGAGTATTAAACTAACGTGTGTTACTTCCAAAGAAAAATAATGATTAAGACAACATTTAAACAGTAATTGGACTGATTTGGATGTTAGATTTATGTGTAATAAACTCAAGATATACTTCTATCACTAAACCATTTCCTTCTCCTAATCCAAAACTCTTTCAAACCCCATCCAAATTGTTTATAGTTAATTGGATTCTTAGGATCCAAACGATCCTGCAGGACTTCTTCGAAAATCAAACTCCATACCGAAAGCTCCATGGAAAGACTACTGTAACAGCTCTCAAGGATGCTGGTTTCATCAAAAGCAAATCAATTAATTCGTCCTCTGTGCAATTGTCACAGAAACAGCCAATGGCACTCTCGTCGTGCTTTATCGAGATGCCACTGAAGGTCGTTATTCACTAATCTAACAAAACTTGTCTCAGATGTCACTGAATGTTGCCCAGAATATTCAAAGCCTTCATCCTTTGGATCTCTTTCCCTGAAGAACATAAACCTGTCAGCTACCTGTTTGATCAATACAGTTATACCAGTTGCAAGCAGAAGCAAAAACTATTGAACATTATTCTTAGGGACTATTGAGTACAGAAGAGAGAAATTTTAATATCTTCTTTACTGAATAATCGAGGGGAAAAAAAACATATACACGAATCTACACGTGTTCTGGCACAACTTATGAGTAACCTCTATAACTGAAAATTAACAGAAGGTAATACAATACTAAATGATAAACAAAATAACTAATCCTCATAGGGACACTATTAAGAAACTAAATATAAACTTGAGCTTTGGAAGTTGCAAAGCAGTGAAGTTTCAGGAATAAGTAATAAGTTTCGAGCTGATCGAACAGAAGCATGCTGACTATTCTTCAAATCATACATAATCATAACATGAGATTTAAAAGAACATTTTACCTTCTTCTACTGACAGATTCATTGATCTCTTCTCAAGATTAATGGCAAGTTTGCTGAGCTCAGATGGAGGTAAACCATGTAGAACTATCAAGTGAGATAAAGAAGAGCATTCTTAGCAGTGTCAAACTTAAAAACTGAAGGTGAGCCATTGATTATTCAAAACAACTTACACTCAATGTAACCTTTTTGATCCGACTCGTCACAATGTTTGAGGAGCTTCTGCAAATTGAATAAACGTTCTGTTCTCCGCTCATCAGTAATCCCATTTGAAGCAACAGAGTGAAGAACCTCCGAACTAGGAGGGATACTCAAAAGATTGGATCCAGAAACTGTCAGAAAATTACCGAGCTTTTCGGTGAAAATGGGAAGTGAAGTCCTAACCGGTGAAAATGTCATTGGGGAGGCTGCAAGAAGAGAAGAAAATGCAGGTGCACAAGATGTGCCACATCCCAATGCTCTTTTTTTTCTGGGTTTGGTGTCAACTTCTCCGCTTGCATAAAATATGTGCTCATTTACACCAACCCCCTTGAAGGATTGATGGGTTACAGAGCCAGGTGAGCATGTAGGGGGGTTGGATCTCTTGGTCCCTGAGAGCTTACTTCCATTAACAAGTTTTCCGCCCAAAGAACAAGAACCTTCCGGGTAGTTATACATGACATTTCTATTATCGTTCACATCCCTTAAAGCAACCTTTTTCAGTGCAATTGGTGATTGCTTGTTCTGATACATAGATAAATGAGTCTCACCGCTACCCATCCCACCATTGGTCAACTTGCTATCAATCATTTGGCGAACTCGAAGAACTTCAATCGAATAAAAATGTCAAATTATCTCCTAGAAAAGTCCATCTGTAGACTCAAGATTGAATCAAAATCAACAGGCAAGATAGCCATATCATTTCACACAACCAAACCAACAATTAAGCAAATAATATGCACACATCAAAGTTGAAAACTATCTTTTACTGCAAAGCTTGGAAATTAAAACTGTATAGTGTCACAAGTCCACTGAAGTATACAAGTCACTAAGTCGATAAGAGAAGATGCTCAGTTAATATATTTCCATGATGATCACCGATGTCCCATCCGAATACAGGTTGGAGTAAAGATTCACTTTCCAGTTAAATAATATCATGAAGTTTAAATTTAAAACCATCATATTCAGTAAAAAGCTTGATAAAATTGCATATATCACAAGCCTATATCTTCCATGATGTTACATTCCCTTTCCAAAACCTTATTTTCAGCTACCTTAGAACACCAAATTCGAATTTTCTAAATTACAAAGTAAGTTCAATCCCAGTAATAATATGCAACAGCAACACAATGTTCAGCAAGCATCCATTTAACAGTATCAGCATAAAACTTCTTTTATTTTCAAAATTTAACCAAGATCTCATGACTATTTCGAAAAAGCCTAAACCTAAACAAAGAAAACTTAGGTATAGTAATTCTCCTACGCTTAAAAACAGAAAAAATCATTATGGAATTTAAAGAATGTTTCATCTCACGCAGTACACAACAGGTACCAATAACTTGAATGCACACCAAAAAGAAACAGCATGAACTCAGATCTACGAAGAATAATCTCCATAACTTGTAGGGTTTAAAGAAGAAATTCAACAGCCGAGGTCCAAATGAGTGAAGAGAAATGCAACAACAGGTCAAACGGGGAGTAAGAGTAACAATTATCTGCAGCAACTTCAAATGAAACTAAAATCATCCACCGCCATAAAGTTACTACGATTTTGATTGCGCTTCCTGTTTCCATTCAATTTATGCGCACGAATCTAGGAGAAGAGAAGAAAACGGGTGGGCGGCAAAGCTTGTGGTACGTTACAAAAGAGGCAAGAGCTGGAAGAGCGGCGGAGGAGCATTCAAGGATCCGAGATTGTGAGGAGAAAATTAAGGAATCGAGTAGAGAAAAATGGTACCTGAGCGGGAAGCTTGTTCTGCAACCGACGAGAGAGAGGGAGGGGCGAGTTCAAAAGGGAAAACTTTGGCTCGAAGAAGATGGTTTTTTATTTTTGATTTTTTTTCTTTTTTTTTTAAATTGATTTTAAAAAGTAGCGGTGGAGGGCCCACCCTAAAACGAGGAAACAAGACTAATACGACCTGTGATTCTTCGTGAATATTTTCATTTCTCAGCACCTCAAAGAAAGGAAAATTACGGAAATAACCCTATTTGGGTAACAACTCCCAGTGGGCCTTCACAACATGGCTGCCCCTGAAAAGTAAAAACGGCTGCCGGATGCATATTAAATTTGCGACTAAATCGATGTTTTATTAGAAAATCATAAAAATATTTAAATTAATAAATAAGTTAAAAATAATTAATATTAATATTATGTATACAGGAGTGACATTTTGTTGATATTTTCATATTTTGTCGATTTTTTTGTACTATAATACCAATTTATTCTTCATGTAAATGTCAATCCTACGGAAACATAGATATGTTAATGGAAATATCGACGTATCGAGAATATTTAGAATCATGGACTAAATTACATAAAAAAAAATACCTCTGAACTGTTTAAAAAATAGTGCTGTTATTTCAAAAGTTTTAATGCTAAAAGTAAAATATTGTTTCATATTCTAAATAGCAATGTTAAGTACTTTTATAATTTAACATAAATTTGTATGTCATCCATAAATTATTAGATTTATATTTATATTTTTTATTTAAATACAATAATGTGAGAGTAGAGATCCGAAGAATCGATTTTTTAAGCTCAGGTTTATATTTATATTTGAGGTTGTGAGTTCGTATCTCCTCCCTAAGATGTTGTACTAAAAAAAAGATGGTTATGTGGTGGAATAATAATAGTAGACCATTACGAAATGTTGCATTTTTTTAACTCAACAAATATAAGGTGAAAGATCGAATATTCAAAGGTATACATATTTTAACTTTTAGTCATTAACCCATGTTCGTTGTTAAATAATCTATTAATGATTGAATATGTGATTTTACTTAATTGACTCATTAATAAAAACCATGGAGAGAATTTGTACTCTTGAGAATATTTGAAGCTCATCTCCTAAAACATAGGTTAGCAATGTAAGACTTGAATCAAAACGAATATAACTCAGCGGTAATTAGCATATATCTCCAACCAAGAGGTTGTGAGTTCGATCCTCCATTCCCACATGTTGTACTTGAAGAAAAGACAAAGTAAGACTTTATGAATTGGTTAACAGCACATATTTCCTTAATTGTGCTATTTATTATAGTATTGTGAAGCTTTATTTATAAACTTTAGCATTGTTCAAAATCACTTAATTTTCCATGGATTACGATTACTTTTAGCTTAGTCACAAGAGAATGCAAAGGTCACCAAACAAAAACAAAAACAAAACCACTTGTGCTCTTTATAAGGGAAGTTCCTCTTTAAAATTCAAGCTTCTACCTCTCTCCTTACAAGACAATTTAGGAGGACTACAATTAATTAGGTGTGTTAATACTCAATTAATGATAATAATATATGAGGAGCTGGAACAATAATGTGGTGCTCGACAAATTATTATAAAAAAGAATTTTAGAATAATTTTTTAAACTTGTATCTGATGGTTATTTAGGGGCGGATAAATGTCAAATTTATATCGACGTAAATGAAGGGTATTTTAGTAACTTCGTAAAGGAAGTTCTCCCCAACATAAAGTTTGAGATGCAAACTTCTTATACAAAACCATGAAGTCGGGATTTGTTTTCAACGGTCGTTCTAGTTTATTTGGTTCATCAATCCAAAAATAGGTTCTTACATTATCGTGAGTCATGACTCTAGGTTGTGTAAAGAGAGAAAGTTCTTTATTGATATTTTTCTTTCTAAGATCAGTACACATACTCAATTTGTTGGACATCAAAAGGTAAGCAATCAACAATGATTCTCATGCAACCTCTTATGAGACTCTACAAAATAGTAATTTTATTTTATTTTACTTTTTCTTTTTGATATCCGACTAAAATAGTATTTAAAGCTTATTTTTAATATTAAATTGTATTTTTAGTAACTATATGTTAACTTTAGATTCAATTTCATAGAAATGCCACTTCAACAAGTTCATATATCGAATAGGTTAATAAAACAATTATTTAGTGAGATTAGTAACAAATTTTAACTGTCTTTTCAAATAATGATCTAAGTAAAACTTTTAATACATTGAATTAAAAATTGTAAAAGATTAAAAACAAAATAAAGAAGAACCTAAATGGACGGTTAATTATTTTTTGAAATAAATAAATTTCTCTCCGTAATACTCAGTCGTGACTCGTGATCGTTACATTAATGATTAAACATTCGTGCGACATCTTTTCTTCACCGTTCAACAATTTTCTGTTCGTAATCAAGAATTTGGTAAGTGGATTCCTCTGGATTATCAATTCGTTTCAGATATATATGAAAATTTTCACGGCTGTCTTCGTTGTCACGTGGAAAATCATGTTTCGTTCTTCTTGTTCCATGGTCAAATCATTTGTAGGGAGAAGAAGGCAAATTAACGATGGAGATTCTTCTGATTCAAGTGCCAGTGAGTGAGATATTTTAATCGGAGGGGAAGAAGTATTCAGAGTACAGCAGAATTCTCAGAATCGGAATGTTGAAGTGATCCTGAGCCGCAGAACATGCTGGCTTCTTCTTGCGTTCTTCCTCCAACTTCTCTTGCTTCTTTGTCACTTTCGGCGAAGAAAAATTTCTCTGCGGTACGTCTTATTACTTTCTGGTTTCTGAGAGCGTACATTAGGGCTTTCCCAGCTCTGTTTTCCACTTGTTTGAGGAGTTTTCCGTTTCATATTGACAGGGCTCAAGAAATAAATGGCCTTCGTTGAGACGACAAATTGAGCTGATTTTTGTGTCCAGAATGTCGCACCATCGGCATATGAACCCATTTATGCACCCAATCTCAACTTACAAAAGGGTAATTTGCTTTTAATGTTTGATTACTCACTATCATATGGTGAGTAGTGAAAAATTGTTTCTAATGCTTTTGAATATTTCTGAGATGTGCGTCATGCTTCTTTAAGTTACAAGTGGAAGCCTACCCTATGGTGAACAGTTTCATATGATTCTGTGTTGGTATGGTTTCACTTTTCATTAGTTTAACTGAATGCAAAGCACACAGAAGTCTCAACACACATGACTTACTCCAAAGGAAGTGCAGAAACTGGGTGATGTCCCCTTCAGTTTGTAGCCTTTGCAATGAAAGTAGCGAAACCATTGATCATATTTTTTCTCACTGCCACTTCGCGGCAAGAGGATGGCATTTCCTTTTGAATATTTTTGGGGTGGCGACATGCTTCCCAAAACATATTGACGATTGGTTGGTGGAAATTCTCTATGGGTGGATGATTCCAAAGAAAGCTAACTTGATTTGGAAGTGCGCTTCAAGAGCCCTTTTATGGCATCTTTGGATAGAACGGAACTCTCGAGTCTTCGAGGATAGAATCAGCCCTTTTGACATTTTTTGTAGGAATGTACAGCACACTGCTTCTTGGTGGTGTATTAATTACGGAAAATTCTTTTGTAATATCAACCTCTCCTTGTTCATGAACAATTGGAAAGAGTTGGTCTAGTTTTTGGGTGGGGTTGCCTCTACCCAGCCCGTTCGCTGTTTCTTTCTTTTGTGATTAATGAAAGTTTCTCTAAGTTTCTTATAAAAAAAACCTTAATGGCCATGGTTATATAAGTATCTTCACCTTGTATCTCCATTTTATTAGCACTATTTAAATTTTATTTTGGTAATATGTTACTACATGGTGACTTTCCTTGTTTAGGGCCACAGTTCTGCAATCTCTTGTGTCATGACAGATAATGCACCAACAATAACATCTGCTGACGAGATCATGGAAAATATGGGCATCTTGAGCCATGATCCAGGCTTGGAACCCTTCAAAGATCATTTCAAATATAGAATAGGGAGATACGCAAATCTACTAAGCCTTTTAGAGAAGCATGAAGGAGGTCTTGACGAATTTGCACAAGGTGCTTTATTAAACCATATTGAAGAGTACTTCATTTGAATTTCTTTGACGTTATAGTCCATATTTGTAGAGTCTACAATATTTACTTTACTAGTCTCTAGAACTTGCTTGTGCTCATACAGGATGCATCAGTTTTCAATCATCTCGTTGGCATGAATGAACTAAAATTTAATCAGCAACTTACCATGATTTTCTTCTATTAGCTAATTTCTTTCATGATGCTTTAGGATATTTAAAATTTGGATTTAATCGAGAAGAAGGTGGCATTGTGTATCGTGAATGGGCTCCTGCTGCTCAGTAAAATTTTCTTTTTCTTATTTTATTGCTCCAATCATACAAATGTCTTTATCTTTGAGCTCAAAATGGAAATGCCATTTTCTACTATTTTCAGGGAAGCACAAATTATTGGGGACTTTAATGGATGGGATGGGTCCAACCACCAAATGGAAAAGAACGAATTTGGAATTTGGAGCATAAAACTTCCTGATAATGGTGGCAAACCGGCTATTACTCACAATTCAAGAGTTAAGTTCCGTTTCAAGCATGGAAATGGAGTTTGGATCGATCGCATCCCTGCTTGGATTAGATATGCTACTGTGGATCCTACAAGATTTGCAGCACCATATGATGGTGTGTATTGGGACCCACCTCCTCTAGAAAGGTATTGATCGTCCAACACTTCCTTATAACCTTAATCTGTTTTTCCCTATCTGAAATTTTAGTTTGAAAGAATCCTTCTTCCAAAATCCAAATGATTAGGCCTTGTAAGATTCCCACCATTATCTTTTAGTCTTTGAATCCAAGGAAAATAGATAATTTACTGTTCTATTTTTCTGACCTTAATGCAGGTACGAATTTGAGCATCCACGTCCTGCAAAGCCTGAAGCCCCACGGATTTATGAAGCTCATGTTGGAATGAGTAGCTCAGAACCGCGAGTTAATTCATACAGAGAATTTGCCGATTTTATTTTACCTCGTATTAAAGAAAATAACTACAATACAGTCCAGTTGATGGCTATTATGGAACATTCATATTATGCATCATTTGGGTACCATGTTACTAACTTTTTTGCTGTAAGCAGCAGATCTGGAACTCCTGAGGACCTAAAATATCTTATTGACAAGGCCCATGGCTTAGGTTTACGGGTGTTGATGGATGTTATTCATAGCCATGCAAGTAATAATGTCACTGATGGCCTTAATGGCTTTGATGTTGGTCAAAGTTCCCAAGGTTCTTATTTTCACACTGGAGATCGTGGATACCACAAGCTGTGGGATAGTAGACTCTTCAACTATGCCAATTGGGAAGTTCTTCGTTTCCTTTTATCAAACATAAGGTGGTGGTTGGAGGAGTACAAATTTGATGGTTTTCGATTTGATGGAGTAACTTCAATGCTGTATCATCACCATGGAATCAACATGGGTTTCACTGGAAATTATAATGAGTATTTCAGTGAAGCAACAGACGTTGATGCTGTTGTGTATTTGATGCTAGCCAATAATCTGATTCACAGCATTTTGCCAGATGCAACTGTAATTGCTGAAGATGTTTCGGGCATGCCTGGTCTTGGAAGACCTGTTTCCGAAGGGGGTATTGGTTTTGACTACCGCCTCCAAATGGCCATTCCTGATAAATGGATTGATTACTTGAAGAACAAAACTGATGAGGAATGGTCCATGGGGGAAATAAGTTGGAACTTGACAAATAGAAGATATTCTGAGAAGTGCATATCTTATGCTGAGAGTCATGATCAGGTGAGGTTGTAACTTATATTTTTATTTGTAGTCTATATCTATCTTTTGGTAATAGTGAGAGTAATGACAAATTTGATGTTGCTGGTTTAGTTCTTTCATGATTTTTTGTAAAATTAATATCATTGTAACCTTTCGTCTTTGCATATTTTGGGCAGGCGATTGTTGGAGACAAGACCGTTGCATTTTTGCTGATGGATAAAGAAATGTATTCTGGCATGTCTTGTTTGACTGAGGCATCTCCCATAGTTGAAAGAGGGATTGCACTGCACAAGGTTTTGTTCCTTCCTAATTCATAGATGCATTTTGGATCCGTTATCACTTGGTTAAATCCAAAAAGTCTTTTAATGCTGTTGAGCTTCCTTGTTTTTGGTCATGAAAGTGAATGTTTCGTTTCCAGACTGTCAGTTTGTCCAAATATAAATAACAGTATAACACCCCAGCATAACTACCTCATGGTCTATGTTTCCGGGGCATAATCGATAGTTTCCAGTCTTCTTACACCTTGTTATCTTCTCAACAATTTTATCGTATGCGTGATCCTATTCTGAATCCAAGATGCCATTTTTTTGTTTTCGCAGATGATACATTTTATAACCATGGCCTTGGGAGGGGAGGGCTACCTTAATTTCATGGGAAATGAGGTGAGCTTAGTTTTTAATTTTTCTTTCTGATCTCTTGGCCTGTCGTTAATATATAAAGTTATATCTCTCTTAAGAATCCTGATCTTAGCTCATGTTTTCATTTTGTTGGAGATTCTTTTGATCATGGCATTATTTAGGAAAATGTGCATTGCGGTTCTGAATGATTTAACTTCACATTTTTACCACCAATTATATTTAAATATTTATCATTGATGCTTATAGTTCGGGCATCCCGAGTGGATCGACTTCCCACGAGAAGGCAATGGGTGGAGTTATGACAAGTGCAGGCGACAGTGGAATCTGCCTGACACAGATCACCTGAGATACAAGGTTTGACATTGCATGTGTGTATATATATTTCCCTGTTCATTATTAGTCTTCAAATCAAATTTGTACTGATGGGAGACATTGTCAGTGCCATCCTTTCCCTGCTATATTTCTCGAACATATTATGCCTCCCTTTCAGTTTTAAAAATGAGTACAGCACTACCAATTGCCCTGGACCTTCAATTAGGTTCAAGATCATTAGATCATAGAAGACCCATGTCATGAATTGATACCGATTCAACGGAAGAACAGTTGCAGCTTTTCTGTTTTTGAATTCAGGGGCGCTGACCGTTTAGCAACCTGTGCTTTCTTTGATTTTGTTCAGGATTTCAAATTGTTTTTCCATATTTGATGCATTTCTGTTGACTTCAGGTCCATAGACTCTAACATCTCCATCCCCCATCTCCTTGGTACAGTTTTTAAATGCTTTTGACAGAGCAATGAACTTGCTTGATGATAAGTTTTCCTTCCTTGCATCAAGTAAGCAGATTCTGAGCTGCACAAGTGAAGAAGACAAGGTGCATATTCCCTCAGAACCAAATAACTAAATCTTGTTCACAGTAATTTTTATTCTTGGATTATCTGGTCAGGAACTATCATCACACGATGGAATAACAATAAAATGCAAACTATGCTACATTACTTTAGTATTTTAATGGAATGAAAATAATCTATAACGTTTATTCGTTGTGTTTGCATCCTACTGTTGTTTATAGATGGAGCCTGGAGTTGATCAGGAGCTCTGATTCTCAAACTTTGGAAACCATATAGTTAACCGAGTGTTGTGGTGTAGGTGATCGTCTTTGAACGTGGAGACCTAGTGTTCGTGTTCAACTTTCACCCTGTAAACACATATGACGGGTATGTGGTTTTGTAATGCTATGCGGATACATTCCAGTCTGTCCATATATGCATTCATGTCTTTGCATATGAGTTGAATCACAATTACTGTAATCCAATCTTACAATTATCATTTTTTGTTCTACAAACACATACAGATACAAAGTCGGGTGCGACTTACCTGGAAAGTACAGAGTCGCACTTGATAGCGATGCTTGGGACTTTGGCGGTCATGGAAGAGTAAGAATTCTGTGGTGCTTTATCATTACTTATGCTGCTTTCAGAAGATCTGAAAGTTTCTCTTCAGTTTTTTGTTTGGGATGCATCTTAAACTGCATGTTAGCTTCTCTGATCCTTAGCTTTTTACTTATCCGTAACAGATAGGCCATGATGCTGACCATTTTACGTCCCCGGAAGGAATCCCTGGGGTGCCTGAAACAAACTTTAACAACCGACCGAATTCCTTCAAAGTACTCTCACCGGCTCGAACATGTGTGGTATGCTGAACATTGACGCCCCTTTCTGTTTCTTTGCATTTTCTTTTCTGAGTTCTGTCCCTTTGACTGTTTTTCCATTGTATGATCCTCGAAGAACAAGGATCCTTCCATCTCCTCTCCCTCATGGCATTCAAATGACATTTTTGTGCTTCCCTTGACGAGAGCTCAAACAGATTTTCATAATTATGTCTGTTGTGGTATTCTTTTTAAAGGTTTACTACAGAGTTGATGAAAGTAAAGAAAAAGAAAATGGCGATTCAGTTGGTACAAACAAGCCGCTTACCACAGATGTCTCGGCAAGGCACACAGAGGAGGAAGATGAAGAGTTGACACATTCTGAAGAGGGTGACATTGCTGTAGGTGAGACTAGGACCACAAATGTTGAAGACGACAATATCGATACGAGCAAGAGTGAAGATGGTGACGATGACCCGAGCAAGAGTGAAGATTTACCAGTGAAAGAGACCAGAGCAAGAGCATGAGATGAGTAGAAGACTTGTATGCAAGTACATGCATTGAGTTTCTAATGTAAATATATAAAACTCAATGTATACGGCAGTGATATGCCGGCAACTTTAATATTGTTCAAGTTTCACTCTAATGTGCATTGTATAATTCATAAAGAAAGCTCACACATGTTCCATATATTTTGATAGGTTTTTGGCAAAGTCTAAATAGAGATTCAGAAGATTTGGTAAAATCAAGCAATCCAATCTAAACTATAAATTTGGAATATGTTTTTTTTTTTAAATGTAAACCTGTAATGCTTATTTTGTTTTTGTTTTCAAGTTTTTAACGGACACTATTTTATTTGAGTTTTTAAATTATTTAGAAAAAAATAATTGAAACCTTATCTAGATACATATTTTATTCCTGATTTAAATTCTATTTTGGTCCTAATTTTAGTTTTTTTCTTCTCATGTTGGCCTCTAAATTTGCAAAACGTCTATCATAGTTCATAAACTTATATATAACAAATTTTGGTTCTTGTTCTTATTATTTTATCTATGGCAGATGGATATGTGGCTTTTAAAAAGTAAATAACAAAATGAGGAAGCAGTAAAGTTGTTTGTAAGCTTAATTAAGGGAAAAAAGAATTAGAAACAAAATAATTAAAATGGCCTAAAATTTCCTATATAGTTTTTTAATATGAGATAGAGCCTAGAGGTGGTGGGTACGTTATTTTTAATATTGGTTCTTTTTATTGACAAGGAATATTGATTCTTACTTACCCAAATGTTTTAGCACATATACGTGTGAAATGACAGGTAAAAAGCTACCTTCACTCATAATAATTTCATTAATATTTTTATCGTTATTTTCACCAATGCGGTGATTAAATATTTTTATAATATCGTATAAAAATCGAAATCGACGAAACACGATAGAATATCACTAATATGTACTATTAATAATAAAAATTTCTAACTTATTTTAAAATTATAAAATGCATATTTGTCACTTTAAATATTTTTTTAATGATTTTCTACAACATTTTTATCAACATCGACATACTAATAACAAGAGGCGAAAACGTTAACTTTGCTTCCACCGCCTCATCTCTCATTTATAAGCATCCTTAATTTAATAATAAAAAAAGTTTTAATTTCCAAATATTTCTTCGATTTTTATTTTCCACCTGTGGGAAATCCAATGTTGAGTCTCACACATGTAACTTTTTAAAAATGTGTCTAATATGGACATATGGTTCTCGCGGAAAATCAAATTGCTGAGCCGTGTGATGGGAAAAAGAGAGAATGTTAAACTTTTTAATAATTTTTTAATTCACATTAATTGAATTTCCTCAAATTTTAATTTTGAGACGAAACTTGTAACTAAAAGAAAATCCTTATATTATTAGGTGGTGGCGTGGTGGGCTTGTGACCGAATGAGGTCACTCCATCTCCAATTTGAGGCCTAAAGTAAGTAATCGAGGTTTCCCACGGGACGAGTCTCTCTTTAACGCCAAAACAAAAAGTCGAAGAAGGTAGAACTAGTTGGAGAGACATTATCTAGCCTCTGTCTGTATCAGGGGTTGGCCCACCACCTAAAGCAGGCCCCCAGTTATTATAGGGGTCCCTCACTCTGGTGTCAGGACGAGAAAGGATACAAAGGACAACTTTGTCCTTATAATTTACGTTTTTACCCTTTTGCCTTGAAAGTGAGTAGGGGGGAAACACAAAAAACAAAGAAGGGACGGTCCTCGGAAAGGGTGTTCGGCTGCAACTATACTGCTCTTCTTTGCCGAATTATAATACAATTATAATTATGAGTGATCTCTGCTTAAATTTATAATTAAAATATTTTTTTCAAGCATCATGAAGGGTAGAAATTTGAACTTTTATCACGAAACTATGCACAACTAGTTATTCATGACAAAGTTTAAACATATTATTGTATGCATGGATTATGATAATTATTCACAATGAAAAGTTAAACACAGTATCTGAATTTGGAACTTACAACCGCCATTCAAATTCCATCGTCTTATTACCCCCAAAATAGTTTGGATTTGTTGGGCACAAAATTCCCATAAGAAAGAACCCTAAAAATATTGAATTCTCATTCAATTTCTAGAATTTTCTGTTCCAGTTCAAATCCTTCCTAACATAAGAAAAAGAAAATGATAACAAAAACTAAAAAAATTTGCAGAATCTCAGAAAGAGGAGCCCTAAAAGTAAAAGCTATTGCTCTCTGCCTCTCTCTTTCCATCATGGCAAATGTAATCGAGAGAGAAACTTGGGCAGATATTTCCGAATTGGAAAATTCTAGAGCCAATCCCAACATTTACAGTTCATTCCAATCCAAATCAAAATCTAAATCCAAACAATAACTAAAACTAATCCAATTCCATAACGATCAGAGATTTAAGACGAAAGATTACGGAATGAGGAAAGCAAGAATTCGACCTGAGGTCCAGATTTGATCCCTAATTCTTCAGATTCTTCGGCCTCTTCGAGTACTCGCTTTTCTTTCTCCTGCAGCGGCAGCAGCGGATTTCTCTGGATTCAGCGGCAATGGCGGCTTCTTGTTTTCCTTCGTCATGCTCCGCAGCATATACCTCGGAGTCGCCTCGCTCCGCTCCACAGAATAAGCCGCAGCAACTGATTTCCTCAAACTCTCCGCATGCTTCTTCGAACTGTGTCGCTTCGAAGATTCAACCGTCACGCCGAGGTTGTATGGAGTCTTGATCTCGGCCACGGTTTCGGCCTTCTTCCTCTTCAGCCTCTCGTTTCTCCTGGCGGAGTACTCCTCGTAAAACCTCCCCCTCTCGAACAGAGCGCTCGAATTTACGCTCAATTGATCGCCTACTCCGCCATTTTCAGATTCCTCACATCCTAATTCCATCCGAACCATGCTTGCCAAGGCCCGTAGCTCGCAGGAAATCGTCCGATACTCAGGTCGGAGCTCCGATTCCTGCGAATCCGAAGGACGGTTCGTTTTCTGCGATTTGGTTAAAGAACCTGCACAGACGAAACGGTTATTAAATTAAAGAATCGCATAAGAAAAACAAGAAAGATCTTCACCGATAATCAACAGAAAATTCAATCGGTTGATTCGATCATACCGGGCGGCGTTTGCAACGTGGTTGTTGAGTTGGATTGCAGAACCCGGCGAGATCTGAGGCGCAAGGGCGATCTGGCGAGCGGCGGCCTGCGGTCAGATCTCAACTTCGACATTGATAGAAGGAAAATCAAAGGGGAAGATGAAAAAGAGAGATTGGTTTTGTTGTTGGAATCTTTGAATGGGGTTCGTTTGGTTTTTATTCGGTAATGGATGCAGATTTCTCTGGCGATTGGTTTGAATTGAGATTTAAATGAGGGGAGCGTCCTCAACGGTCATATTTCTTGAGCAGTAGATTAGGCTGACCTGTCAACCGCGTGAGAGGATTTATTTATTGATTTATTTTTCAATAAATTGCCGTCTCCAAAAATGTAAATTAAATTAAATTTGTCAAAAAAAAATGTAAATCAAATATTCTTTTGCTAAATAACGTAAGGCTATTTAAGACGACATTAGATCACAAAATCTTTCTAGAAAATAAATTAAAAACTATATCAAATGTGACTCTTCACGCTTGTTACAAAATACATGAAACTACTAATAAAATTTATATCTTTTTAGGAATACAAAAAAATATTTTCCTTTGAATGATTTCTTAACGCGAAAGAAAAATAAAAAAAATCAATCTAAACACATCTCATTTTAGGAATACAAAAAATTATTTTCCTTTTAATGATTTCTTAACGTTTCAGCGAAATAAAAATAAAAATCAATCTAAATACAGCTCAATTGGTTAAGACGTACCCATTATAAGTTTGAATTCCCACCTCCTATTTTATTAAAAAAGGTGTCCGTATAACTCTTTTTTTTTTTAATTTATAAATGAACACATCAATAAGAAAAACTCTAAAGTTGGAAACAATATACCCAATACTTGTACTTGAAACAACAAAAATAGTGGTACATACACAATACAAATAAAGTATATTTTCTACCTAGCGACATCAGTTTATCTTTTCCGAGAAAAGACATCATTTTATGTTTTAATAACATACGTAATATATACTTGAAGAATCAACAATAACAATATAAAAATCAAATATATATACTGTTTGAGTTCGAAATTGCTGAGTTCGGATAAGTCTTAGTTCGGACTGTTCGGGATGAACTACAGCCAACATTTAAGGCTAAGGTTTTTATTTATAGAAACTGGGCCCGACAGGAACTCTGACACATCCTAAAAATACGGCGTGTTGTCGGGTTCGGAAGAAACACATTTACGGACTCCGTTTAAGGTCGGCTCGTTCTTTTAGCTCGACCCGTGATCGCCGACCTAAACAACCTTAGGAAAATATGGTACCGACCTAAAATATTTTTCTTTTTGGACCAAAGTATAATAGGATAATTGTTGACAAAATACGATACCGTTTTCGAACGGGTGTCGTAGGGTGCTAACACCTTCCCTACATTCAGTCGACTCCCGAACCAAAATTCTGTTTTCGTAGACCAAGTTTTTTTAAATAGGTGACCAATCACACCTCGTAGATGATTGGTGGCGACTCCAAACCCTAATCTCGAAAGAGACCCGTCAGGGGATGACGTCGGCCGCTCCGCGTCGCGATGACGTTGCGACAGCTTGGCGACTCCACTGGGGACATTTAAGAGAGTCAAGCCATTTATTTTGTCGTTTATTATCCTATT